TAGTATTTAACAGAGCAATGGCACAAGGGAAAAAACTATTCCGATGTCTAGATGTTTTAACTAGACAAAGTTACAAACTGCTTTAATCCTAAATTAGCCTATATCACTGATGCATGTTTTGAACTGTAGAGCAAACTGCTTCCAAGCATAATCTAGGAAAAAGGATGTCCTAAGTAGCAAGAATGAAAAGCACTAAAATATATATCTGGGTATGCTGCTGCTGCTGCAGCCTTGGACTGCAATAAAAATTGCCCTCTACTCATAAGAACACACTATGAAGGATGTCTCTGGATCCCAGCAAGGATGCAGCCAATCTGCTTCCTGAAATAGCCACTACTTCCAGAGTATCCAAGGCTAGTAATTTAGGTCACTTTATAGTCCACTGTAATAATAGGCTTCAGTGCTTTCTAAAATGGTTAAAGATGGTGGTATCTCCTTCCAGATACTTAGAAAAGCACGTTTCTTTCATAGTACTGAAACTATGCAAGCTAAACAGCGCTTCATGTCTTAACAGAAAAAGAAGTTGCTAAAGCTCAACTGACATCCCAAAGAGAATAAAGCATTTAATTTATTTTACAATATTTATAGCCCACTCCAATCCTAACAGACTCTGGGCAGGGCGAAACACTGTCCAAAAATGGATTAAAAACAAGTATAAATGATAGTCATTTATTTTAAAAACTCTCTAATGTATCAAAGGTGCCATTCATCTAATCTAAGGGCCAATAGCCTCCTTTGGTCTATTTTTGAAATATCTCTAGAGCAGTGGTTCCCAACCTGAGCAACATTGACATGTGTGGCCTTCGACTCCCACAATTCCCCAGCCAGCATGTTGGGGAACTGTGGGAGTTGAAGGCCACATACTTTAAAGTTGCTGAGGCTGGAAAACACGGCTCTAGAGTATGGGCCATCCTTACCTCTGGAGAAGGAGTGTTCCATAAAAAGGGGACCACCACTGAGAAGGCATGTCACTAGTCTGTGCCTCATGAACCTCACAAGAAGGGTGCACAACAGCCCGTCTCTAAATGACTGGACCGAATAGGCAGATTCAATCTTGGCAAGGCACTGCCTAATATACAGGTGAAACTTGAAAAATTAGAATATCGTGCAAATGTTCATTTATTTCTAATTTTTCAAGTTTCACCTGTTCTAATTTTTCAAGTTTCACCTGTTCTAATTTTTCAAGTTTCACCTGTTCTAATTTTTCAAGTTTCACCTGTTCTAATTTTTCAAGTTTCACCTGTTCTAATTTTTCAAGTTTCACCTGTTCTAATTTTTCAAGTTTCACCTGTTCTAATTTTTCAAGTTTCACCTGTTCTAATTTTTCAAGTTTCACCTGTTCTAATTTTTCAAGTTTCACCTGTTCTAATTTTTCAAGTTTCACCTGTTCTAATTTTTCAAGTTTCACCTGTTCTAATTTTTCAAGTTTCACCTGTTCTAATTTTTCAAGTTTCACCTGTTCTAATTTTTCAAGTTTCACCTGTTCTAATTTTTCAAGTTTCACCTGTTCTAATTTTTCAAGTTTCACCTGGTGGGACACTTTGAGCCTAGAATATTGAACCTTTTCACACTATTCTAATTTTCTGAGATTGTGAATTTGGGGTTTTCATAAGCTGTATGCCATAATCATCACAATTATACCAAAGTAAGGCTTGACATATCTCGCTTTGCATGTAATGCGTCTATCTCATATCTTGGTTTCACCTTTTGAGTTGCCGTACTCACATAAATGAACATTTGCACGATATTCTAATTTTTCGAGTTTCACCTGTATTCCAGTGCTGCACCATAAAGGGTTTGGGGGACAAGTGTTTGCTCTTTTTGATTGAAGGGCTAATGGCACCATATGAGATAGGTAAATATAGAATACAGAGCAACTGAAATTAAGGGTATTTTAAATCCTGGAGAGACATTTAAACAATTGATATTAAATTGAAGCCCTTATCTTTCTTATATCGACTCACAGATCAGATATTCAGGAAAATCTTCCAAAGGATATCAGTATTTTTTGGCCCACTATCAAACCAGCTGAAAAAGTGGGCTGTTATCCAAAGATGCATGCCTCTATTCACTTAAATCAGGTGTACCACTGAAAAATCATCCATTACAATTTAGCCCAGCACTACCAATTTCAGTTGCTTGTAGTTAGGAAAGGAAAACCGATATAGACACTCTCCATCCAGTCCTATCAGGGCTGCAATAGATAGCAACACTTAGCCAACCCTGAAAAAGCTAAGCAGGGTCAGACCTGGTTAACCCTTAAATGGGAAGGGGAAGGGAAGAAAGGAGGAATTTGACTGGAAAAT